ATCAAGTACAAGTCTGTGAACATTGTGCACAATGTTATATATGAGGAGTATTATATGTCATCAGGCTGCAAAAGCTAGTAAAAATGGCAGTTCTGACAACAATGAAGTATTTATGCATACTGGTATCTGATCCTTATGCTACTTCACCGCACAGGGTTAGAAGTCTGGGTTGTGTAGGTTAAATTGCAGATATAAACTGAAAATCGACCCTGCTCTTCGAAGGGATGAGGGCTTCTTTAAAGATCTGGCTTAAGAATGACCTAGAGTCTGTTTATTTTACTCAAAAGAGACTAAACAGGTGGTTTGATTGAATTAACAGTGTCTTAAGAACATGGGGTGGAGTTATCCCATGCGTTACAATGAGTCTGAGCAGCTGTTAGGGGAATTTAGTTGCTGAGGGTGGAGGCTCATGTTTCTAAATAGAATCAAAAAGAATAAGTACAGAAGTACTTATGTGAATTGGTGGCTTTGCATGGTTGGGTGAAAATATTTAATTAGAAAATAACTAAATTTAGTAAATCAGTAAGATATACAATTTTGTCATTCTGAGTCTACATAACATTTGTGTATTTAGTGTTGCTGACAAACCTCAATTTCCTACAAATATATTTACGCATTCCTGAAGTTTGATAAATATTGTGTGACAATACTACTTCATTTACGTTATTTAAACATTCATACTTTCAAGTAACAGTTATGAATTCTAGCGAATTGGGTACCTTTGTGAATCAATGAAGGCTGTGATAGTGATGCACATGAGAAATCAATAAATTTGCATGAACAGATTGTTTAATGATAACTGAAGACAGAAGAACATTGGAGGGTCCTGGCACGGTCTTCATCAAGCAGTGAATAAATAATAGCTGCAGTTGATAATGATGGAGATGATTATGATAACAGACACATACTGTACATTAAGAGAGTTACTTTACAAATGCAACACATATTTTCAGCACTTAGAGTGCCACACTATCCAATTAACCTGTCTATGTGTGAGAGTATGTCATTGTAATATGCTTATAGAAAATGGTAGCATTCATGTTCCCTTTTGTACACAGTGTGACAGCATGTGGTGAGCAATGTGTTTTTATTTTAGACATGCAATGTTGTTACATGAAGTCACTGGGGCATTCAGAGTCCATCAATCAATCATCACTAGACATCAGCAGTGCTACAAACTGAAAGAAAGCACCTGTGACCAGCCCAGGCTTGGTCAACCAGGTGTAATGACTCAAGTGAGACCACCTGAGAAACTGCTTCCAAAGAGGGCCAAATATGCTTTCTAACACAATTGGGTGTCAAAAGACTCATAAACCTGATTGCAGTCATCGGGCAGTTCAGAGCTGTAACATATTGTAGTGTCTCTACAACAGTACTGTCCAGACTCAAAATCTGCAACATTTGCAAGCAAGCTTCTGACAGATTTCAAACAATTCATGTGGAATGCATCACTTATTGCATTCAAATGCTTTATCCCCATTTAAATGGTCAGTGGTTGACATAAGGGTCATTATGTCTAACACATATACAGTATGCATAAATTTGGACATAGGCAGAGATATTGAGTACAGACTACACCCGTCATCTTATTATTAATCTGGGAAGCAACTGCCAGATAAGCAGCATTAATTTGACCATGGTTAATGATGACATACGCATCTACCACTGCCTGTCCTGTCCCACAGGTGTTGGATTGTGGCTGCAGTGCAGTTGGTCAGTTCATGATATTGATCATGTTGCACATTTTATGATGAAAGAGTGCAGTATTATTTTGACACTGATATTGCTGTGGTAGAACGCAAGTGTCATGAAATTGTAAACATGAAGTTGTATAGTCAGGTTACAATGGACATCGAGAAGCTGACTACTAAACTCTGCATTAATATCTTCCCACACCATCTGTCCATGCTCAGGTGATGCTTTCTCTATCCAGCCCCACGCCCGAAATGGAAGTCAATGTCAATGTCTTCCTGTGCAGTTTCTGTTTGAAGTGTTGATGTCAGCATTATACTATTGAATTATTTATTCTGAAACAGTTTTGCTGCTGTGAAAAAAAAAATAAAGGGGAAAACAGAGATCACTTGCATTTGCGATATTTTGAGTAAGGATGCAAAAAATGTTGTTTTCAGTAATGAAAGGTGTAGAGTTAGAAGCAAATTGACAGTCTTAAGTGGATTGGCGAGTGATGTCTGAAAAGGGTTAATCCTAAATCTGTGTCCGATTTGCAGAGGAAAAATCACAAATGGTGTGGGGAGCCATTAATCCAGAATTTAGGAGTCAGCTTCTTGATGTCCATTGTAAACTGACTGCACAGCTTCTTATTCACAATTTCATGACACATGTGTTCTGCCACTGTAACAGCGATATCAGAGTCAAGATAATACTGCACTCTTTCAACATGATAGTGTACAAAATGATCAATATCGTGAGCTGACCAACTGCATTGGAGCAACAATACAACACCTGTGGGACAAGATTGGTAAATGCATATGTCATTATTTACCATGGCCAAATTAATGTTGCTTATTTGCCAGGTAATTCCCAGATTGAATATAAGAACATGGGTGTAGTCTGTATTCAATATACTGTATATGTCTATGTCCAACATTTTGCATATACAGTATGTGTTAGACATAATGGCACTGTCAATCATTGACCATTTAAATGGGGATACAGCATTTGAAGCCAATGAGTAATGCATTCTGTAAGAATTACGTGAACTCTGTCAGAAGCTTGTTTGCAAATGATGAAATGATATCACAACCAAATCCTTCTAGTCAATTAAAAATATAAAGAAATGCATTTAAAACAAATATTAGGAGACTCTTCTTTATACAAAGGGCTGTGGGAAAATGGAACAAGCTACCCAGCCATGTTGTTGAGGCTAATATCCCTCCTTTTTTAAAAAGACAGCTAGATGAGATTATCAGATAAATTAGTTACTAAATATCAAATAGGTAAGATCTTTGAATGGCCTCCTCTGACCCATCCTTATTCCTTATGCTCTTTTTGAATAGCGGCAGTCATTATTGTTTAGCTTCAAGATGAGTAGATGATCAGTCTAGCAATGATTAACGTTGCCATATGTAACTGAGACTTTTTGTAATTCTTCAGGACCAACAGGACAATAGTATTTCTTTATCATTTCCACTGATATAATTCTATTCCACAGGACGAAATTAGCAGGTTTTATTACTGATCACTTGATGAATCCAATATGTAAAGGAGTTTAAACAAATTACAACACCACATGGTTAAACGGCTCTTCATTATCTGTACTGAGTCATTGTTGTTCTTGCAGAGCTGTGCTGAATCTTTAAAACAAAGTTTAGGTTAAAATCCTCAGCCACAAAATATATAGGTGGCAATCAATAACTTCCAATGTTTCAGTCAACAAATTCATTACATTAACTAGAGGAATAAATAACAAGTTTCTGGTTAGCAGTGCAGTTGATGCAATGTTAAGAAGTTAATATGAGATATTCTTTAAATTACAAAACAGCTTGTGAGGGCATAAGTCTTACTGCAGTGTTGTCAAGGTGAGTTAGAAATCTGTCCATATACTTTGAATTCTAATGTGAAAGCAATAACCTGCTGTCTTCCATCAGTGTGATCTACAGTCACAAAGAGCATCTGGCATGATCTCTGACCCCACTACATCATGTCAGTTTTACAGGTCAGCTGTTCCTCTACTCCATCTACCTACTATGTTGTCATTTTCTACTTATTTTATTTTCGTTTCACTGCAAAGTATGACTTTGTTCAAGTACTGATCTATATGTAAGAAGCAGCACTTAAAAATGTCTTTGAAGCTGAATAATGAGGAAACATAATTATTTTTGTACATTTCTTTTCATTAACTGCAGTTATGCTTATGGTGTGTTATTTGAAAAATTATACATTTTTACAGTTGATTTTGTAGCAAATTTAATTAAATATATAGATGGTCAGACATGCAGTTTTGTGAAAAATTTTCCTCTGAATACAAAACTCTTTTAGTTCTAAAGCAACTTTTAGTTCAGGATAACCTAAAAAATAATGCCTTACGGGTGACAAAAAATCTATTTTTGTATGCTTGTTTTATATGCATGTGCAGTAAAAAATAAAAACTTTTAAGGTTGTAGATTACCATGATCTGTTTTTTTTTAAGATATAGTAAAATGTCTGGATGGTTGGACAGAACAGAGTTAAAAATCTGAAATAGAGATTACATAGAATACAAAAATTATAGGTCTGATATGTGTGATCAATTAATAGATTATTCACTGTTAAGCTATGGGCAAAGTCAACAAAAATACAGTAACTCCATTTCTAACACATGGGATTTTAGACTCAGAATTATCACATCCAATCAGCTTTTAAAGAACATATTTATTGAAGTGGGATGCCCATTTTCTGTAATGCTGTGTACCAGACGCTTAAAACAGTAAAAAAAATAATGAAAATTTGTAGGTGTGCAGATGATAGGTAGGCATCTTTAATAAAGCTTTATTTCTCAAGGTTGATTTTGTCTTTAGAAGTTACCTTTCCAGCTTCACACATATGCTAAGTTACCTTTCAAACCTGATGTTCTTAATTATTTTCTAGAACATTTTAGGTCTTTTTTTTTCCTTGAATGCAAAATCAACAAGGTGTAAACGAAATCGAAATCGCATTGTTTGTACAAGGAGAAAAAAAATCCGATTCTGTCTCTTTAAGGATTTCGCACTCGTCCCACGTTACTTTGACTGACATTTGAGGATTGTCACTCTCCCGCAGACCGACCACCTCATCCTTCATTCTTACATTTAGCACTCTCTCCTCTGCCATTGGTTGCCTTTACCGTATCTCAGCATAATCGACAAGCATGAACTCTCATGTATTGATTCTATTGGCGAGTTAGAGAGGAAACGTCATGACCCCACGTGTACATCTAACCTTGATTGGCTGCCGTGAGTTTTCAGAGGCAGGTCTAGATCTGGTTAGTTCAGGGAGTGTGAAACCGCGTGTTAATGTAAGCAGTGGGGAAGAGTGGGGTTGGGTGCTGTATTGTCATTCTTATTATTAAGATTTCCATTTTTATTGATACTTTTTATGTTTTAATATTCGGCTTTATTATTGAGCTATAGTTTAGGTGTTGTATTATCGAGTACTTTTTAGTTGTTTTTTTTTTAATATCAAGTGCATTTCCATGTTTTGCTAAAAAAAAACATTTTCATTTTATCCTGGAACAGCACACGCGGGGGATACTTCATCAGTCATTTGGAGGGAGGTGTTATTTTTTTTTAAATAATCATTATTTTTGAGACTTTTGCGACAAACGTTTCGGTTTGGTCTTTTTGTATGTGTCGCCTGTTCGCTTTGTTTTTGATCTTTCTGGATATCGCTTCGGGGAACCAGCGCTACGTTGTTTCATTGGGGGAAAGAAAAAACAGTTCCAGGGTGGACTTTATTTCGCTGTTTGTGAGCAAATGATTTTCTCATTTTTGGGGGGATTTTCGCTTTCTCTATTGGACTAACTCGAAAATCAACGAAGGTCCACTGTACAACACAAGTTAATTGCAGACCTGCGACGACTAGGAAGCGCTTGTTTTGTTCTGCGAAGGAGACGGTGGAGTGAAATAAAAGGACGGGGCACCGAGGTTTGGTTTGCTTTACGACCCCATTTCTTCGGGGATCCAGGATGAATTTATCCTAATTCAGAGTTTCCTGCTTGTGCTTCTCAATTTCTGCTGAAAGGGGTTAAAAGATAACCGAGAATTGAGGATTCCCGGAGGAGGCGCTTGGCTGAAGGAGCAATGTTTCCTCAAAGCAGACACCCTGTGAGTGTAACAGTACAAAGGAAATGGGGGAAAAAGGAAACTTCGCGGCTTTTGCTTTCCTGGCTGAATTCGTCGAGTTTTAATTTGTTCGTTTGTATGCAAAAAGTGAACGTTTTACAGTGCACTGAATGCTACGTTGTTATAATACGGGTTAATGCTATCCAGTCGCTCATGCGCTAACTCTTCAGTCGTTTTGATGCCAGAGTTTATTCGTTTCGTGGTTTTCCAGTTTTCCTTTTGTTTCTCATTTGATTAAGTCATAAATGCACAGCGCAGTCTTTTTTTTTTAAATGGGTTGCATATGATACGTTCTTGCCTTACTTAATTGGTAACCGCAATATCTTTGCAGCGTTTTATAGCTTTTTTCCTACACGACAGCCTAGGACTTGTCTGCCCCGCTTGTGATTTGTTTCAGTTTTTGTAGTGTCGTGTGCGTATAAAACTTCCTTTCAAAATTGTGAACTAAAATCGGCAACATAAAACCCGTGATTCTGCTGTCCTTATTTCATTTCTACTTTGACAGACGCCGCACCAGGCTCCTGGGCAGCCCTTTAAATTCACAATTCCCGAGTCTTTGGATCGGATAAAAGAAGAGTTTCAGTTTCTACAAGCCCAATATCACAGGTTAGTGCAATTTCCTATTTACATAACAGTAGCCAGCGCGAATATATCTCAATTCCGGACGAGTTATTTACATTTGACTGTTTTGTGTCCATTCTGCGGTAGGTAAAGTGTGGTAAGGTTGAAGAACCAGAGGGTGGCGTTTGTAGTCAGGTTAAATAACCACTTTCCTTCCGTCTGTGGACAGGACTTGTCTAAATGTCCTTGTGGTTTAGGGTGTGCATACACTCTACAGACATTTACATTGCATTTCAAAAGTTCTAAGGCCGATGTTTTTCATCCTTTATTAACTCTGATCCCGGCTTGTTTTCTTGGTGTCCATGAACAGTTAACTATCGTGTGTTTTGAAATGGTATTGTGAGGAATTTGGCTTAGGAGTGTAATGGCAGCTCCATATACTTTATGGAGCGTATGTGTGCAGTCTGGTACGTCAGCCTAACCACTTAAAAATGGAGTTTATCGAAACAATATGTAAGCAGTTAAGCATTTTATTTACTCAAAATTGCAGCAACACTTCAAATATAATCGCCCTTGTTTTTTTATATATGTCAAGTGATTTAGTTCTGCATTAGTGAACCAAAATGTTTTCCCTTTCAGTAATATTGAAATGGTAATCACTGTAACAGCCAGAATGGAGCATTACTTTGTTTGCCATCTTATTTTTTTTAAACACTTACCTGTATGAGTGGTCATGGAGTCATATTGAATATAGATGACATTACCTTTGGCTTAAAAGAACTCAGAGAAAACAATTTTCATTTACCCTGAACTCAATTTGTAAGACTGGATGTCTTAGGTGAAGGTGGAATGCTGCCACAGTATTTCTGAGACAATCTTATTATACACTACTTTAACATTTTGTTCTAGAAAGAAAATGAACTGAACAGAGATCCTGATGTAAATGTGTCAGTGGTTGAATTTGAGGTCCACATGTATATAATTTACTTTAAAATGGTTTACCTATAGTGCATTAAAAACACCTTGTCATTATGGGAGCCACAGTCACCAACAGTGCATGTTTGATGTGAAATTACTGGAAAGTTAACAAGGATGACTTGGGATCTGAATTGCTCTTTATAGTAAATGCAATATGCCACTTTTTTTTTTAAATTGAAGCTAATTGCATAATTGCTTGATAATTTGCAGTTCAGTACAGAACTTTCTTAGGCCCATGTTGATACTAAATATGCAAAATTCAGCACTTTTTCATTAAGGCAGGCTTGTTACAGTAATGTCAGTTCTTAATGCGATTTTTGTTAACTGTATCCTATTATACATTTTAATTGAACATGTAATTTGACCTTTGTTTTTAGTCTCAAACTGGAATGTGAAAAACTTGCAAGTGAAAAGACAGAAATGCAGAGGCACTATGTAATGGTGAGTTACTATTATGCAGGCTTTTTGTGCAGATTGCCAATTTCTCCTTTTAAAATCAACACGTTTGAAAGTAATCTGTGATGTTACATGGTTGTTGACTTTTGTGCATGTGGAAATCTACGACATAAACAGATGTTTGAAAAAATGTGTGAGGTGTGCTCTGAAACTGACAAGATTAACATGTGTTCACAGTACTATGAAATGTCTTACGGGCTCAACATCGAAATGCATAAACAGGTAAGCTCCGTTTTCTTCTTTCACTTACAAAAGTTTTCCAAGTTTACATTAGAACAGGTGCTTGCCTTTTGAGTTTCATATCTTTGGACCAATTTAGTTTACATACTAGGGAGGATGGGGTTTGTAAAATGGGAAAGCAGCTGAAGAGATTGTCATCTAAATTACAAAAATGGCTAATGTTGAATGAGGATAAAAGGTCTTCAAAGTAAGTTTGAAAAACCTTCTTTTCTTGCATCATTATTCTTTTTGGCTTGACTGTTTTATAAATGTAGATTTTGACTCTTGATTTGCAATAGTGACTTCAAGAGTGTAAAAGCATGTAATTCATGTTGATGTTTCTTGCTTGCAACAGGACTCTAGTAAGTAAGGATATAGCCTGGAAGTGTCTTTTGCATTACAGGACTGCAGATTGGTTTAGATTGATGTGTAACATAGTTAGCTCAGGATGAAGGTGAAAAGAATGTGGTATTAACATAGAGGAAAGGGGAATGGAAGCTAAATGATGACTAAATCAGCCTGATATGGAATTGAGTAGGCATTGTCTGCCAAAGAATGAATTAAAGGCTGAGTGTAAGTACTCTGCTTGTATGCTGACATTCACTTTTTCATCAGGATCTTGGCAACAATGAGTCTTTAAGTAATCGATTGCTTCTTTTAGAAGATTATCATTAGATGAGGTTGCAGTGTTTCAAACGTAGAATGAAATTCTTGCTTGATGCATTTGTGCTGTCTCGAAGCAAACCCTTGTTTCATTAAATTAAAGGGCATGGCTGATGGGCTAAAGGAGAAGAAATTGATCATGGAAGTCTTCAGATTTTCACTGTGCTCAAAGAGTTTTACTAAGCTAATGTACTTTGAAATTCCCAGTACATTTCTGTCTTTTTCCATAGATATTCGTAGTCAATTCAAAGGTTGATAGCAGCACTGTCTTGACTGTTCATATTAAATGTCAGAAGATGAATAGATGCTGAAAAGGACTTAGTCCATGTCTGTCCTAATTGTTTCTAAAATCCAGTGGAGAGGAAAATTACAAAAATTGGAAGCAATTGTATTTAAGATGACAGGTTTTTTACATTAAAAGGTTTTGATGAAATGTCCTTATTTCTTTGCATATTTGCAATGAATTGTGGATAAAAATGCATGATCAGTTTTTTAATGCTATTATGGACATTTTTCACTGAACAAGGATAGAACTAATAGTTTTTTAGAATAACCAAGAACTGAAATCTTTACAGGAATGCCGTTTTATCTTCCTTTTTTCTAAGTGTGCTGTAATACTTTTTTTTTAAATGTAGTTACTGACGTCAAGTGAGTATTTGGAACCTCAACGGTTCTTAGAATAAAATGATAAAGTATTGAATATTCACGTTCTTTGGACTTGGATAATATCGGAGATGTCTCGTGTGAATGTACACTTTAGTGGTTTTTCATAACTGATAAGTGATGTTTTAGCGTAGAGGGGAAAAAATGCTTCAGGGTGGTGTATGTTTTGAAGTGCCTTGGCATCAGGGTTTAAGGTAATGTAAACCTACTTGGATTGTATATATTCTGGGGGAGACAGTGTCCAAGTTATCTGTAGAGGTTGATTGCTTGATCAACAACTGAAAAACAGACTGGTATGTGCAATAATAACACATTCTCTGAGCTGCACAATCTGAATAAATGTGGTCCAGCCTTTCTGACGGTGCAGACAGTGTCGCAGATCCTGTGGAGGCGTGCAGCATGAAGTAATCATAATTCTTATTAAAACTGGTGACGTCTGGGCCCAAGGGTGTAACCAGGCTCAAATTGATGCCTTTTCTCTGACTGATCACCAGTGCGTCCTAAGTGCTCATTATGTTGTAGAGAAGGCCTCTGCAGCTCTCATTACATTTGACAGGAATTCTCTCCAGAGGGAAACTGGGCATTAGCTAGGCTCCTGGCAGGCTGAAATTATTCTTTTTATTGCTTATAAGCAAACGCTAGCATTCATTGTAAAGGAAATGTCATTTTGACAATGTCTTTGTTATTAGGAAATGCTCTGCTGTGAAAGTCTTTTTTCCCCCCTGCCTTGTGCTCCAAGGCATGCTTGTCTCCAGGGCTAACTACAGACTCAGTCATTGTGAAGGCCTCCTGTGGGTCTTCTGTATTTTTTTTAATTCAGCCATTGCTGCTCAGTCAAGGATGAGTATTTATATATATATAAACTTTCCCAATCAGCTGTCCAGCTCAAAGATGTGTATGCCAGCTTAACATTCCTGCTTTAAAAATGTAGGAAATGTGCTTTAATATGGGATGTATAGCATACACACTGAAAGCACTTTCAAACTGGACTCTAATTATGGAAATATAAAACCATTATCTTGAAGTATTTTACTCCTCCACGTTCATGGCATGTCCTATAATATTTTTAGTAATATTACTTCTGTTTCTGTCTGACACTTTCCCCTTACAAAAATGTATCATTAAAATGTATCCACTGATTTAAATAGGAAGACGTTATGAAAAAGTCGGCTCTATTGTTTTTAGGAGAAAATCGTTAAATGTCATTACCATACAGTGTTGTGTACTTTTAGATTCATGCTTGCACAGTCAAAATACAAGTATTATTTTCTTCCTTTCAAGATACATTGATGTTCTTAGGTAATCAACCAGATTTTCCAGTTTTTCTAGTTTTCTTTTATCTGCACACTCAACTGGCTTGACCATAGGCCTATTCAGCATGTTAGAGACTCGAATTCAAGATTTCCCATGGGGTTTTACCAACACTTGGAATCGGACCACAATAGGGGTTGTTTATGGGTCACTTATAATTTCCCCTCATTCTCATTCCCCACAATGTACTAGTTCAGTTGTTGTGTTAATGAGTGAGACAATGGGTACATTTAAATAAGAAAATGCACAAGAGACATCCAGGGTTCTCATATCACGTAATTAAAACGGCACATTTATGTATTTGGCATTAGAAGGCTTAGATTCATGATATGTGGTAATATCAGAATGAGCTGTTCTCGACAATTTCAGTATGGCACCTTTATGCGCATCTTTGAATGTTGCAGACCACATAAGCATTTAATATATTTTAACATTATCTCTAGATTACTTTTTTGAATGATCAGGTTGGAACAGTGTTTTTTAATCACACTAAAACCTGATTTGTAACAAGTTTTATTGCCATTTTGAAACTATATATGTTAAGATAATAGTACCCTTAAATGCTTCTTTAATTACTTTTGTAGGTTTTAGTGTTGTATTTATTTAACAATGTTAATGTTTATTGTATTTATGTTGCCATAACATTTAAAATTGTACCGCCCTTGGCAAAACAAGTTTACAGACTGCAATCCATTTTCTTGCTCATTCTCTGTTGCCGGTTCTTGAACCTGTTGACTCAGGTGGCATGTCTGGATACTGTGGTTGGAAAGTTTCAAGCCCACAAATACAGGTGGTGTATTTAGTAAGGGGTAATAATTCTAGGGCTTAGTATGATGGTTCTGTGTATGTAATTAATTGCTGACCTTACTGGACTCTCTTGTGTTTGTAGTACGTGTGCACAGCTTATAAGACCTTCAGACATTAATAGTCTTGCTGTTCTGAAGGGCTGCTGTCATCAGGCATTACAGCAATGCCCTTTTATTTTCATCAGCTGTGACTGCTGTCTGGTGCCTCCTGGCATAATTCAAGAGATAAAGCTTCCTGTGTCTAAAGCCTGGATTGTTTAGGTGTAGGATTAGCTTTTGTTCAGTGGCAAGCAGCCAAAGAAGATTCACTGCTGCTAAAGCCCATTGATAGACCCTCTAAACTACTACTCAGAATGTTTAAATTCTGCCCTTTTCCCTTTAGCAGCTGTGTGGGCTTTCATTCTTCTACTGAACTGTCTTCAGACTAATTTCTTTCCCTGAAGACCTTGGGCAAGTAATGATGCATTTAGCCCAGAACTGTTGTCCAGTGTGATCTGAACTGATGGCAAAGATCTGTTTTTTCAACAGATCATCCTGACCTGCTATTTTTCCACATCCGTAAGTCAGTCTTTGACTATTATTTGCATACTAGTGCAACATAATATTTTTTCATAGTCTTACACTTCATTTTACTGAATAGGACCTGTCTTATCTCTTTGGTTGGGAAGGGAAAAAACTTGTGAATCTTTGCATGATGATCTCAGTTATAATTTTGCACTCAAAATGGAGTGAGATGTATTTCAATTTTCTTGGTGTAGAATACTATTCAGCACCCCAGCCATCTGGAAAGCCATTTTTATTAGTAGTTATATAGTTGCACTGTTTTATGGTACTTAAGAATCTGAATTGGGACTCGTTGTAGAACTGGATATAGTCAATCCATCCCTAAAATTGACATGGACAGAATGTTAGTCACATGGTTAAGCATATTTTAATAATTCTAAGACATGGGCATATTTTGTTTGGCAATCAAATTTTTAATATAATTGTTGCTAAGGTTTGAAATTGTATTATTTTTATGCTGTACAGTTAGGTACCAGGATTTAAAGATGGGTAGAAAAAGTACCCTAATGTGTTGTGGAATTCTTTCCTCTGCGATTTTCAGCACATCTCCAAAAGACAGGTATACAGCAGACAGATTGTTTAAATCCAAACAAGATCTGGAGTAGTACCATGAAATCACTTTTTTTCTTTATACTTTCTTTGGAAGTGTAACAGGTGGCCAGCTGATAAAAATAGAGGGCTTAATTTGTATGTATTAATTTTCCATATGTGTTGTATGTACTTGGTTAAGCCTATGTCGCTTGGTCAGCTCTTGATAATTAATTGGCATGGGTAATGCAACCACTTAATGTTAAATTGTTTTTGGATTAGTGTATTTAATGAAGAATTACTTAGCAGTAGATGTTTGTAATGCTGTTATATTAAGTATTTATTTCTGATGGGCTTTATTCTTTTACTGATCTGCATTTGTGGTGGATAAGATTGAGATCAGTTATGTAAAATTACTGGAAATTGAATCTTGCCAGTTTTTAAACAATGGAGTGTTTCAACACTCTG